TCTCTCTCTCTCTCTCTCTCTCTCTCTCTCTCTCTCTCTCTCTCTCTAATGGGTTTTTCCTCCTTGCCTGCACTAGCTGAAAACTTCAGGGTTTTTTCTTTTAAACCACGTACTCAAAACATTCAAAGGAACTATTTCTTGTTAGTTTAAAAAAAAAAGGAATATCCTTAGTTATCTCACATTGTGTAGCTTCTGAGGCTTAGAAAACCCTTCCCTAAATAGCTAATTTGTAAATAGCCTTGAGACTGGTCTGAGTTAAAAGGTTCCTGGTTACTGGATTGTTATTTTTAATTTCTGAAGTTTCAGCAAACATCCTTTACAACTGGGCTTGATCTTTGGGGCAGGGAAATGTCCATCTTTCTAATGACCATTGACAAAGATTCAAATTGAGAAGGAGAGAACAGAGAATCAAAGACAATGCTTTTTCAAGAGGCAACTGGACTTTCTTGGTTTTTCCTTGAAGAGGTTTTTCTTCTTGTCACAAGAAGCTTCTTCAGTTCTTACTTCAGTCCTTCAAAACTTCAGTCGGAACTGAAGAAGCTCCTTGGATGAGAAGTGAAACATTATGAAGTACACACAAGATTCATTCGGACGTACACACAACAAGGGTGGTGTTTGCAGCACGTTAGCAGCGACACAATATTTTGTCTGTTCCCTCCCTCCCACCCGCTCTCTACAGACAGTCTGCTGACTAACAGAAGTTGTGCGTTCTATTTTCAGGTTGTTTCTTGTTATAGAATATGTGAATGGAGGAGACCTCATGTTTCATATGCAACGGCAAAGGAAGCTTCCAGAGGAACACGCAAGGTAGTATGATCTTTTCTTTTCTTTCTTTTTCTTCCTTCCTTCCTCTTTCTTTCTTTCTTTCCTTCCTTCCTCCTTCCCTCCCTTCCCTCTCTCCCTCCCTCCCTCTCTCTCCAGCTCTACTAGAAGTGTGTGAATGCCAGCCAAAACAATTTACAATTTCCTTAGGTTTTTTTCCTCTCGCTAATCTCTCAATTGCAAGAGGAAAGATTGCAGTCCTTCGTCCTCTTGCTACTGATGCAGTTCCTTGCTGCGGCATGTTGACCTCTATTTGTTTTAAATACAGCCAAGTTATTGCTGTGAGGACATCTGAAGAAGTTTCTTAGCCTATAGGCTGTGTATAAGAAGATACCAAGAGATTACCAGGTTGTCTTTTAAAGTGAGAGCTAGCTATTATCCAGACATACTATCTCACGCTAAAGAAGTGAGGCAGGTTCGCTGTACAGTGGTACCTAGGTGCTCAACTGCTTTGAAACTCATCGAATTTGGTACTCAACACCTTTTGATGTGAACATTTTGCCCCAATACTCATTGTCTGGTACTCAACACCCAAGCTAGAACTTGCTGCTGTCGGCTGCCTTGTGACTCACTACATTGTACCTTATGAGAAAAAATTTGTTTGTTACTCATCACTTTGGTACTATCGTGCCTCCCAGAACTAATCAAACAATGTGTACCAAGGTACCACTGCCCTTGAAGAACTTCTGCAGTGTAGCTGGACTAGAATGTAGTAGAGGTGTAGATCCTGAAGGGGGCGCAAGCAGCACACTGCTGTGCCTCAACACCTACATGGGCCTCAATGATCTCACCTGCTACTGTGGCAGCATTGAAAGCTTGCAGATAACTGAAATGTATAGCCAACTGTTAAATTGCCCTGCTGCCAAAGGAGTGAAATTACATTTTCCCTTCAGGTTTTATGCTGCTGAAATCTGCATTGCTCTCAACTTCCTCCACGAGAGAGGCATCATTTACAGAGATTTAAAACTGGATAATGTTCTCTTGGATACAGAGGGCCACATCAAGCTAACAGATTATGGCATGTGTAAGGTAAATCGAGTCCTTGGATCAATCCCCCTCTTGGTCTGAAAGGGGACTCCTCCAAAACCATTTTTCTCCTACAATCATTTCATTTTTGCAGGAAGGATTGGGCCCCGGCGACACGACGAGCACTTTCTGCGGAACGCCAAATTACATCGCTCCGGAGATTCTCCGAGGAGAAGAATACGGTGAGTTGCTATGTAGAGCGTGTAATGATGTAGAGACCGCAAAGTGTAAAGTCTTCTCATCCGGAGTGATCACAGATGCGCTGTTTGTGTTGAGTGTCTTTACGCCGTTAAGCAGAGGTCGGACTCAACGGAAGCATCTCTGGGTTCCTTATTATGTTCTGGAGAAGAAAAGAGTGGAGCAGTGTTCAAAATGGAGGAGGATGGAGAAACTGGCCTGCCTCCGCTCTTTGTGTGATGGAGTGTGGGATGCAAAAATACCAACAACCGGTTCTCTGCCCCGGTTGCTGGGTGGGTGTGGCCATGGTGGGCGTGGCCTACCAGAACTTCTGGGAGGGCCATTTTTCGACCTCCCAGAGCCTCTACAAGGGGCCCTGCACTTACCTGCATCCAAAACGGGCCACCTGCCATTGGATGTGAATTTTTAAACGATTCCAAAGTAAATTCTTAAATTTATCCTGTTGTTTTGAAGCAATCGTTAATGGCACTGTTACAAAGGGACAACGCAGGACATCTGAATTAATTTTTTTGTTCTGGTTGTTTTTATGTTCTCCATTACACACACACACACACACACCTTGTACACCACTAAAATCTTCTCTGAAGAGTCTCTTTCTTCTTTCTTTCTTTCTTTCTTTCTTTCTTTCTTTCTTTCTTTCTTTCTTTTTCTTTTCTTTTCTTTCTTTTTCTTTCTTTCCTTCCTTCCTTTTTCTTTTCTTCCTTCCTTCCTTCCTACATTCCCTCCCTCCCTCTGCCTCTTTCTCTCTCTCTCTTTCCTATAGCCACCTACCTCAATCAATGACTCTGTCTAATCCTTAAGTGCTGTTCTGTATATTAAAGCAGTAACAGTCACCTGAAATCTTTTATTGAAAACACGTTTTTCTAACGTGTTCTTTACAGGATTCAGTGTGGATTGGTGGGCCCTTGGTGTCCTCATGTTTGAAATGATGGCTGGAAGATCTCCTTTTGATATTATTACCGACAATCCAGATATGAACACTGAAGATTACCTCTTCCAAGGTATTTTTTTATGTAACGAGACTGACAGATTAGCATCCTACAGTTAACAGGCTAATATAGACATAGTCCCATTAATTAAGAGAGGTATCTGGTTATGGTTTAGTTTTTGGATTCTGCATAGACTTCAAAGGGAGCCTCCTACTGAAGTGCTTGATAGACATTCAGCTGACAAACTCCTGAAAGATTTATCAAAAGGTTCAAATGTCTATATTCTAGGAAGCACCTCCTGTTGAAATTCTAGCTGTTCAAGTAGGAGACGCTATATTATTCTGAACCAAATGGATCTCCAGTCTCTTCTTAAAAACCTCCGTGTTGGAGCACCCACAACTACTAATGATTAATTGTTTTCACTGTCAGGAAATTTCTGCTTAGTTCTAGGTTGGATCTCTCCTTGATAAGTTTGCATCTGTTACTTCTTGTCCCACTCTCAGGTGCTTTGAGAATAGGTTAGCCCCCTTTTATTAAATGTGTGTAGAGCACAGAATCCATTTCAACCCAATTTTAATATAAAAAAACCCCTGTAGTTTACTAATGTCTTTTCCTTATTTAATCTGGATACGTTCTCTTCACCAATTACAGCCCTGCCTCCTTGGAGACAGATTTATCAATTTATTCATCTACATGATCTATGTTAATATAAATTTTAATATACAGTAGAATCTCACTACCCATTAAATCTGAATTTATGTGATCTGTGTCAGTTTCCAAAATTTGAGTAATTACACAATTGACATAAACAATGTCACTTGCAGTAACCTCAATATAACAGGCGAAACGTTCTATTTAATAGTCTGTTAAACAGGGGTGGAGAGGAAATTGTGTTGTATTTTAACACAGACTTAAAATAATTACTATACCGATTTATTGGGGAATATAATGTTTTCTCTTTCCAAAACATTTTTTAACAGTTATCCTTGAAAAACCAATCCGAATTCCAAGATTCCTTTCTGTTAAGGCCTCTCATGTTTTGAAAGGGTTTTTAAATAAGGTAGGTCTACAATATTTTGTCTTTTTTTTCCCCCACAAAAGCACTTTTTGACTCTTGGTGCCTTCTGTTGACCCTGTGGTTTATTCATTAAACCTTGAACAGTGTGTGAACCAGGGCAAAATAGACTAAGATAATTCTTCTGTATTTTGTTCTGTACCTTGTAAAGTGAAAAAAAATAGGGAGACAGAATTGCTAGATGAACATAATGATTTGTTTGATAAAGGCAAATTTATTTTTAAAGAAACTTGTCTTCAGCCTTTGGCCTCACAAACCTGTCGTTTTCTAGTTGTGGGAAAATTAATTTCATTCTTCCTCCTAGGATCCCAAAGAGAGGCTCGGATGCCAACCCCAAACGGGATTTTCTGAAATCAAGTCACACACATTTTTTCGCAGCATAGACTGGGATCTGGTAAAGCATTTCGCTTTTTTTCCCCCTCCTTGTACCTGTGCCTGTGTATCTGAGACATTCTTTTGCGTGTCACTTAATGGGAGAGGCAAGTGATGTCACATGTATCATAATACCATCACCTCTGATGCTGCCGTGAAGATGGTTTACATCGTTCGTGTGAGAACAACAAGAAGCAAGAGATAATGTAACTATTAGCATCACTGGAGACCTAGCAGAATGAGTGAGGAACTATAACTTGGTTCAAACACCATTCTATATCAGGCTTACAGTGGCCATTTCTAACGAACCATAATACAATACACCATAATATGGAGTGGTCCATTTGGTTTTATCATTATGGTTGCTCAATTAGACCCGCAACAAACCAACCTAAATCTTTGCATATCCATACAACCGGCTCCCAGAGGAGGCAAATCTACTGCTACTTCCTTTTTGAGGGAGTTTCACATCCCCTTATTCCCTGTCCCTCCACACTCCCCTCAGATCTGCTTTGGGATGGCACCTGACCTTCTAAGACAAGGATCTCCAAACTTGGCAACTTTAAGATTTGGGAACTTCCAACTCCCAGAATTCCTTAAAACAACCGTGCTGGCCAGGGAATTCTGGGAGTTGAAGTCCACAAATGTTAAAAGTTGCCAAGTTCGGAGACCCATGTTCTAAGACAACTGGAGAACTTGTCAACAAGATCTAAGTCGGCGCAGAAATCAGAATTATTGTGTGCTTCTGTTTTGTTGGCTGATGTCCGGAAGCCACCCAAGATGTGACCTCAAGCCATTGTTATTTGTTCCTGACTTGATGCATTTGCTTGTGTTGAGTTCAAGAATAAGGAGGATCCAAATTCCCCTGTCCTCTTTCAAAGCCAGTTTTGACAGGAGGAGGTCAACAAGGAGCCAATGTCATGTGTCTAGATAGGGTTAGAAGAAATCCATGGTTACAGATCCTCACTCAGCTTAGATGACCCTGAATCTGGCACTCTCTATTTCAAGGGTAAAACAGGACAGCCACTGCCCCCCCCGCCCCCCGAGACAGACAGAGTCAGCAGGTGCTAAATGACAAACTGTCATGAAGGCCTTGTCGCTTATTCAAATTACACACTGGCATTGGCAGACTCTCAGCCTTCATTCCAAGCCTGCACAAACCAGTTTCAATGCTCCTTAAGAATACACGATGGATTCGCGTACATTTTCCTAGGTATTGACTTCACAGATGCAGCCCTAAATGTTCTGACCCAGGCTTCCCGAGACCGTAATTAAGCACATGCTTAGTCCAAACAACTCTTGTTTTATTTCAACACTGGGAATTATGTTCATTCCCAGCCTGTAATGAGTCCAAAACAGTCTCTCGAGATAAGCACTCACCTTTCTCTCCTTTGAATTGCTGCCAACAACTAAAGTGCCAAATTAACTGTAAAAACCCAACCGAAGTATAAAGTCCACACAGAGCTTCAAGGTTGAATCCAAACGTTGCTTCCTGCAAAGTTTCCTGTCCCTTTGCACTTCCTTTATATCTTATGGGAGGGCCAATCACCTCCAAGCCTTACTCCCGAGTTGCCCCTTTTGTCTTAGCTGCTGTCGCCTTCTAGCAGCTCTGCGCATATGCACACTGGGAACAGGCTCCCCTCATTCCTCTACCTCGCTGCTGCCAGACTCCAAAGGCTCCGGAATCAGCACCCCACTCCCAGATGGTCCTGGCCCTACCACTGCATCGGATGCAGGACCCTCGTCCGAGTCCTCCCCAGATTCCCAGACTGGTCCCCGTTCTTCCCCACTGTCCGATTCCAGTGCCATCTGCAGGCAAACCACAACATTAAAGATGTGAAGACTTGGGTATAGAGACACAGCCTGTTTCTGGCTCATCCTCCACCTTGGTCAGAAAGGGTCCACAGAAGACAAGGACAAACTTAGAAAACGCCCAACCGTGGCCTTGGAAATGCCTTTTGTTGACTACACGATGGGTAACTAACTGGGGGTGAATGTATGTGTCTTTTAAGCAACACATCTCTTCTCTCTCTCTCTTTTTCCCCTCCTCCCCTCAACTCAGCTGGAGAAGAAGCAGGCCACCCCGCCCTTTCAGCCTCAGATCACGGATGATTACGGCTTGGATAACTTTGATACCCAGTTCACCAGTGAACCTGTGCAGTTAACTCCAGATGATGAGTAAGCGTCGTCGTTTAGCATCGAATCCTAGAAGGGGAAAGAACCTTGGGGCTATGCGGTGTGCAGCGTTTCTCGACCTTAGCAACTTTAAACGGCGCGGACTTCAACTCCCACAATCCCCCAGCCAGGAATTCTGGGAGCTGAGGTCCTTGCAGCTTAAAGTTGCTAGAGAAACACTGTTCTAGTCCCAACGTTTCCCAAGGCAGGAATTGCTGTCCACCTTAAACCTTTTCAGTAAAGGGACAGCCACCATGTCGCAAGGCCATCTCTTCTGTAACGGAAGAGTTCTTCTGGTTAGGACTCTGCCCCCCCCCCCCTCCCCCCCCCCCCCCCGGAAAATTGGCAGGAAATTTGTTTCACTTCCTTGTCATTGCGAAGTCCCTGGTGGCTTGCCGGGTCTTCTTCTACAAAATGTTCTCCCCGATCCTCTGCCTGTTTAAATAGTTCTTCAGAAGTACGCCGGGTCCAAACTCTGAATGGAGGGAATTTGAGGATTTGTAAAAGAATTATAGGGTTTCTCTGTGGAGGATGTGAGGTTGGAGCTAACAAAGGGGCTCCTACTTATTATCTGACTGTATTGCCTTTGTGCCACGCCCCTTTGGGTCATCACATTTTCCCACCATGTGACTTAACAACTGCGGTGATTCCCTTAACAACTGCAGCAAGAAAGGTTGTAAAATGGGGCAAAACTCACTTAACAAATGTCTCAGCCACAAAAAGTTGCGGATGTAAGTTGAGGACTCCCTGTATTTCCCGTCAGTCTCACTGCTTGACCCCGAAAACTGAAGCACGCAGACCCACAAACGTTGGTTATTGCAAAGAAAACATGGGTTTTTTCCCCCACCCTGTTTCATTTTGACCGTGTTTGCCCATTCAGTTTGCAGGCCTTCAATAAGACATTACAGGACGAGCGTTAATTCTTCTTCTCCTTTCTGTCTCCAGGGACGTAATAAAAAGAATAGACCAGTCGGAGTTTGAAGGATTTGAATATATTAATCCATTGATGCTATCAACCGAGGAAACGGTATGAGAAAGAGGCACAGAGGAGCGGGGGAAAAAAAAAAAAAGAAGAATGAATGCACTTGGACATTTAATCCTGAACTACAGTATATGCATGCAAGGCTGGGACCGGGTCACCATGAGGTTTTGAATGGAGACCAAATGATAAAATGGCCATCGAGAAAAAAAAAAAATCAAGATAACGTGATTCGGGTGGGTGGCTTCCTCTTTTTTTTTTTTTTTTTTTTTTAAGTCCGAGGGAATTGGCAGAGCTGGCTTCATGGAATCCGCACTCCGTGCCTGCTTCAACAAGAGGTCAGTGACGGTTGGTTGCATCCTTGGGAAGAGATTCCAGATCACGCTGAAAAAAATAGACTACTTCGAACAAACCTTTCCATGCAACAGCCTCCTATAAAACAGTCAAACATCCAGAATACAATTGCTTGTGGTGTTGAAGCTTAATTTTAGATGCCTTTTCTCACAAGTGGTACCTATCCTACTGTACATGTCTTGGTGTGTGCGTGGGTCTGTATGTGTGTGTGTACATTCACATCTGTGTAGGCACACATGTACGCACACTTGCTAAATAAATAGAAAGGAATTGTGTTTTATTAGCAAGGTTAACAAATTTGGGTACAGTATTTAAGTGCCTAAATGGATAATCTACATTAAATTATTCCATTTTTGGAACCTTTGATGAACCCTGTAAGTTTCTGGTTATTGAAAAACAAAACAAAAAAGTATTTTACACATGGAACCTACAACTAACAGCTGCTATCTAACATTAATCGTGGTCTCAGAGTGGACAAGAATCTTAGCAATAACAATTCCAAAAATTAGAATTTAGCATCTAAACATTCTGGATTATGCTGAACGTGGGAGAAAAAAAATATATACACTACCAAAATCTCATCAGAAAATTTAAATTTGCACATGGTGGATTTATGAAAATACTTGAGCAGTGCCTACAATGATTTATGTTGTATACTAGATTTTTGAATAATATTTTTATCAATGCAATATTCAGAAGGATCAATGGAAATGTAATAGATCTTAGCCTTAAAATTTTTGAGGAAAAAAAAAAGAATTCTAGGATATCCATCTACATACATATTTTTTTCTGATAAAGCACATCTCCTATTTAAAAATGATAGCTTTGAAATGTTTAGTTCTCCTAGAGATTGTTTTGGTAAATGAAACCCAATCAAAACAGCAATTTAGTGAATGGGAAAGGCGACCACAGATAAAAAAAAAAATTACCTGGATATTAAAATGTCCATTATTTCCTCTTCAGAGAACTGTGGGGTGTTTCATTGAGATAACTGCTTGTCAATTTTTGGAATTTAAAGAAAATTCAGATTGAACTAGTACATATTGCTAATCTAATACCGTAACCCTTTCTGAATACCGTTGGGTCGATTGTGGTTTTGGAGAATAAGGTTTAAAAAAAAAAAGTCAGATTGACTCTGAGGGATCCATTATAATGGCAGATAGGAAAAAAAATCCCATTAATGTCATACCTTGGTTAGATATCAAATGACTCAGTCTAGGTTTCTCAGGATATAACATTGCATTGGTTGCTGTGCAGACTTCCCTTGCATCCGCAGCCATAAGATAAGATGCTAGGGTTAAGATGGCCAAACTGGGAAGGGTGGGACAAATCTGGACAAGAACCATTGATTAAATTTCGTTTTTGGATTCTCTCCTTAGCTTGGCCACTAATGAAAGCACATACATGGTAACAAAACATTAGCACTCCCAGGCCGACTTCTTAAAACTCGGCCGTTTCCCCCGCTCCCCCCAAGCAAGATTCTTAAGTCTGTTCTAACCAGCACTTAATAATTCAGCTAGAACTATTTTTGTTTTTCCGCCGGTGCTCAGGATTTAAATAAACAAGCTACTTTGCTTTTGAAGCGAAGCTTGAAAACGAATATCCTACTTTTTACCTTTCTTCCTTCTCGGTGACAAATTCAGTATTTCTCTCACTGCTGTCTCTCTTTCTCTTCCCCTTCAATTTACAGCTGAGCAGCTGGTTTTTGCAGGTCATGTGACTGAATCAGATGCCATCAGATTCTGGGGCAAAGGGTTTGCAAAAACCGCGAGAATACTTTTGCTCCGAACTTTGTATACTGTCCAAACATCAAAGCAGGACTAGATACGCACTTGGTCCCAGGCATCAAAAAGAAAAAAAAAACCCAAGTCCTTGATTTATTTACAATTTAAGGCATTTTACAATGTTGCTGTGTTGCCAAATAAGTTACTGGTTACAAGTCGGTTGCTGCTCGTGTGCAATGTATAATGTTCTGTCCATGATGAAGGGGAAATTTTTTTATATAAAGTTCTTGTTTTATAAATTAAAGAAAAATGAAGGATGTAATTAAATGTGTGGTTTAAAAAAAAAATCCTTAATATATTGCAAATGGAGCTGGTAACGATATCATTGTCTTAGTATGTAAATGAAATGTAAATGAAAAACACTCTAGCTAATTTAATGATTGTAAAACAGTCAATATGTTCTTGTAGTTTTGTATAATTAACTAGTTGAGATCTTTGGCCAGTTTTATTTGTGCAAAAGATGGTATCCTAACCAGTTAAACAGCTAAGACCATTTATATTCTTGCACATCTATTAAAGACTTTAATGAAAATATTCCAACTGTTTTCATTAAGCAAAAATAATATACTTTCTTCAGATGGATTATCATGTTTTATTAATATGTTTTCAGTTCCATACATTCTGCACACCAAATCTTTTTGTTGCATTTGCTCTCTTTAAACAGAGTTGATCTCGTCAAACTGTCTGGGAAGAATTATTATAATAAAAACAGAGTTCAAAGACGAACTCTTAAGTTACTTTACAAGAATTTGTATTTCTCTATAACTGCGCAAAGGTGGCTTCATTCAATCTGCATGAAATTAAGAGCTGTTAGTGCAGTTGTGTTTAGTTTGCTAAGGTGAAACTATACTTTTAACATTGTGATTTTTTTTTGACACTTTTCCTTTTAATTCCAACAAGCTGATGATATAGACTCAATTCCTCCAAAGTTATTCAAATATATTCACAAAAAGAAAACCACTTTTCTTTCCTTTGCAGGTCTACATAATAAAGTACCCATCAAAATTTCACTGTACAGGTAATCCTCAACTCATAATTGTTTAGTGACCATTCAAAGTTACAGCAATGAAAAAAAGGGACTGAAAGTGAAAAATGAGAGGTTTTTCACACATTTGTGTCATCCCCATGGTCATGTGATCAAAATGTTAGAATTATATCGCTGAGTCTAGAAAGAATAGCTAATGAAACATTAAGGGATCCTTAAGGGTTTTGTAGATTTTCCCCCCCAAATGTCACCACTCATCTGTCTTCTATATTATGCTTTGGTTAACATATCATCTTTGTTTTCAAATAAGTTTTTAGCAAAGAAAAAAAAACCCTGGAATGAGTTGGAAACAACTGAGATAATTTGATCTACAGATAAAGTAACTATCTCCTAATACGCAAATCTATTATATTTTCAGGTAACTGCTAATTCTTCCACCGCATTCTTCCTTTAGTTTGAGACAGAAAATATCTTGTTTGATTTTTTTTAATGGGGCTACATGGTAAATGGGGTCGACTAATTTCTAAATCTGTTGTTGGATATAGAACTTTGGCTAATTATTATTTTTTGCTTCATTCCTACCCATTATCATTCCAAAAATTGAGTGTTTCGATTTATTCCCTTGCAAAAAAAATTATTGGAACGTATGAGTCAACTTCTCCCGCTGCTTTTAGAGCTGGCACTTAATGCCAACCGATTACTTATAAAAAAATTCTTCACAGGTTTTCTATTTATCTGGTTGATGATTCATTCACATTGATGTAAGGGGGGGGGACAGCTTTGCCCTTCACATTTAAATGTGGGGGGGGGAACCTGAGTGGGTACGCAGCCGTGTTTGGTGCTAATAAAAAGCTCCTGAAATTATTTTAAAAAAAAAAATCCAAGACATTTTAATATTAGATGCCTTTGTCAGGCATCCCTTGCTTTCTAACACATAGTGGTCAATTAGTGTTAATTTTATTCCAAATTTATTGATGATGCACTTAGCTCCCATTTATTTCTTAAAATCACTGAAAGATGAACTTCTGTAGTATTATGTGAGTTGGATATGCTACATTGATTCTTTTGGCCACCAATGGGGTTTGAAACTCAATTTTGGGGGGAGAGTTCAGAACATTTGCCAGTGAATTATGCCCGGGCGATCTTGGTGAGTGGCCTAACGCATCTCAAATCCTTCATCTTCCAGACGAATAGAATATTTTATGCCACCCTTTGTATCTCCAACCTTGTATCCTTTGGCTGTTTGAGATTTTTGCTTAGGAACCAAGGAAATGGCTTTGGGTGCCTCCTCTGGGTCATTTTCACCTGCGGGGATGATTTTTTCGGGCGCGGAGTTTTGACGTCTTCCTGAATCTGCGGTTTTCCAATCTCTGTGATAAACTGGAAGTGGGACCCATTCAAATGTCTTCGTCCCGCAATTAAATGTTTCAAGACACGGCTGAGGATTTGCAATTTGAGAATTCTGTAACAGAAAGAAAGGGTCAGCTTTTAACAGCAATGGCTATACAAATCGTTCTGACCCAAGCCTCGTTCAAATCAAATAAAACACAAAGTATATATAAAAGCAAACCTTTTAACTGCGTCTCTGTGAATTCTGTTCATTCACAGCCAAGGGTCATTAAAACTAATTGTCCCAGATAAGAGCAAGCCCTTTCAAGGTTACGAAAAGAATACAAGATTAACTGCAGAGAAATATTCCAAACTAAAAATCTCCAAATAGGAACCAGAACAGACAGGACTTCCATGAGAACTTGGAGTTGAAAGAACTTCTTTGCTTCCTGCAAAGAAGCCAATCCCAAAGGCTGGCTTTTATCCCTTATGGGAGGAGCCGTCACCTTGCAGCCTTACTCCCGAGTTGCCCGTGCTGCTGCAGCTGCTCTTTCCTTCGAGCAGCCCTGCGTGCACGCGCACTGGGCACAGGCTCCACGGGGTCCTCTTCCTCACAGCTGCCGCCCTCCATAAGCTCTGAAGGCAGCACCCCACTCTGATAGTCCTGGCCCCATCCCTGCATCACATGCAGGCCCCTCATCCGAGTCCTCGTTCTCAGAGACCGCTGCCGTCTACAACTGCTGCTGGCGAACCACAACACAAATTTAAATTTCCTTCCTCTATTTTGACCAGCCTTGCTTACAGTGAACGTTAAAATATTCTTGTCCTTGGTCAACCTCCATCAATGAAATAAACAGGCAATTAAAAGCTAATATTTTGGAATCTTTGATTACGACTGTTTTGATGTGTAAAGATCTGGGCCCCATTAAAAATCAATCAAACAAACAAGATGTGTAAAGACTTTGGCAATGTCTGTTGGCTTATTTAGTTCTGTCTCTAGATTGTCTGAAACTTATTTATTTCCTATTGCCCTTGTCCTGCTTGTATCTACCTGTGATAAAAGCATTTGATATTTTAATTTTCAACAACAAATAAACTTTTAACTCCCTGGAAATTTAAACATGACCACATTCAGGAAACGGAAGACTTAACTTTATAAATATTCTCTTTGAAGACGGTGTCAATTACTGCCTTCTACTACCTTGGGATGAAATTCTGGGAAGCTGACAAATTTTTCTAAACTTGATCGATTCAGATGTGGATCCACAGTCCTCAGCAATGAAATCCATGTAGTTTCGGCATCGGTCAGTTCTTGATTTTCAAACCAGGAAGTTTTGGTGGAAAATATCCTACAGAAAAGAAGGGTATAATTTTAACAGTTCCACATTGTCAGAACAAAGTGATTATAATTTAAAATGCTTGTAAAACAGAGTTCTATATTTTCCTTGTTTGTAGAATTCTAAGGGTACAACAAGAAGTTTAATTCTTCTAGGAATTTTAGAATCAAACATAACCAAAATATTGAATTACTTATATATCTGTGTTTCTTGAACTTGGTAGCTTGAAATCCACATATCTTCAAACTGCCAAGATAAAGAAACAAATAAGCATTATGTTGGGTTATTTCAGGTATACAGTAGAATAATCAACTATAAAAAAATAAATCCAGTTTTTGTCGTGAGATCTGGATAGACTTCCAAAAAACTTCAGGAATGTGGATTAGGCTGGGATGTTGAAAAAAATATTGGCAAAAGTCAATAGCTCCCGTTTTATTACCAAAAAATGCATAGATGCATCCAAGAAACCACTAACAGAGAGAAGCTGAACGGGCTATATTTATATATTATAAATATATTTAAATATATTATGGGAGTTGAAGTCCACAAGTCTTAAAGGTCTTGCCCCTCCCATGATGGCTTTTTTGCAAGATTGGATCATGGGTTGTGTGTGGTGAGGGCAGGTAGAGGAAGGAAGCGAGGAAGGGAAGGAGGAAGAGGAAGGCAAAAAGGAGAGGAAAGAGGGAGGGAGAGGAAGAAAGGTGAAAGAGGAAGAGGGAAGGAAGAAGGAGGAAAGAAAGGAAGAAGGGTGAAAAAGGAAGAAGAAGGTGAAAGAGGAAGAGGGAAGGAAGAAGGAAAGGAGGAGGA